AGGTTAGAGATGGAGCCATTTGTAATAAGCTTCCCTTCTTCCTAAAACATTCCATTACTTACCCTACTCATCCCTTACAGAAGGCTTGAGGAAAGAGGGAAGCCTGTTACCTCAGTCAGTTTAGTAACACTTAGCAGAGATGTGATTGCTTTAAGCAGCTATGTACTAGGTGCCAAGTTCTCACAATTAGTGAGAGACAGTCCCTGAGCTTAGGAACTCACTTTCTATGTAGAGGAGAAAGACAAATAATTTCAATGGTATTTGCTAAGTATTATTATAGAGGATTTCCAAGGTGCTTTGGGAGCACAAAGGAAGAGTAAATTCAGCCTTGGGAGAGTGTGGTCAGGGAAGGCTTCCTGGAACATACATGAGCTTAGTCTTAAGGGATGTCAGTCACCAGCCAACAGAAGGAAAGGGGGGAGGTTTAAGGAAGAGGATCCTGTATGTGTGAAGTCATAAGGATATGAAACATCATAGTGTTATGGAGGGGCTGTCATAAGCAGTTTGCTGTTGTTGGATAGCATGAAGTGTAGTGCATGAGTTGGATTGGAAAGGTAAGCAGGGACTTGGTCACAGTAGGCTTTGGAAGCTTTTCTGAAGAGTGTGGTCTTCACTGTAAAGGCAGAGGAGAGCCACTGAAGGATTAACAGCAGCTCTGCATTTTAGATAGACGTATCATTATGGCAGTAATATGAAGCATGTAAAAGGCACAGGTCTGGAAGTGGAGAGACAAGGTACAAGGCTGTTGCAGTAGGTCAGGGTAAAGGAGATGGAGGTCTGAACTGTGGCGGTCGAGTGCAATGGAGAGAAGAGGACGTGGGCAAGTGTTCAGGGGAGAAGGTGGCAGGACCTGGCAACTGACTTGGGGAAAGGGAGAAATCACTGGATTTGGCAATAAGGAAGGTCACTGGTGACCTGAAAGAGAGCTAACTCTGGGGCATGGTCAGATAAAAGCCAGGGTTTAATGTGTTAAGGAGTGAATGAAAAGTGAGGAAGTGTGGACCGTGAATACAGGCTCTTTCAAAAAGTTTATGTAAGAAGACAGAATTCATAGTATTGAAGGTAGTTGAGGTCCACTCTTGAAACTCTCATGACACTCTACTCCTGGTTCTTTTCTCTTCTTGTTGGCCACCCTTATGAGCTGTCTTCCTCTTTGTACCCCTTTAATGTTGCTAGGGGCTCCATCTCTAACCTTAGCTGTTCTTACTCCATGTGCTCTTTCTGGCTGAATCTTATTTAGTCACACCTTCAATTACCACCTGTATGTATGTGATCCCCAACTCGGTGTTTGCGGTTCAGTCTGGTGTATATAGCTGTGCATTGGATTTCTCTTTTGCTGTGTATGTGAGGCACCTTAAATGCGAGGATTTCAAATCTGAGCTCATCAGCCTCAGCTCCCCTAACCTGCTCTTCCTCTTATGTTCTGTCCTGCTTAGTGCAGCCTCATTCATCTGGTCATGAAAATTATTAACCTGCAAGTTAAACTTACCTCCTCCTCCTTTGCTCTTACATAGCTAATCTGTCACTAAGTCTCCTTTATCATTGCTTTCATCATCTGTTGCCTATACCCTCTAGTAACTTTCCTGCCTCCAGTCTCCTCCAGAGTGATCTCTTTGAAATACGGTTTCTGCTCCTGTTTTAAATCTATCCCTACTGGATGAAATCTGAGCTTTTTAACTCTGTCTCGTGCTATTCCCTTCGTCATACCAGTAGGCTCTAGCTATACCAGTTTGCCTCTGGTTCCCTCCATGTAGCAAGCTGTTTCTTATTTTTGCACCTTTGTTCTTGTTAGTCATGGTGTGCTCTGTCCTGAAATGCTTCCTGACCTTTCTGGCCTTCCCTACCTCCAACCCTGTGGTTAGCTCTATTTTTTCAGACTTAGCTTAGGGGCTACCTCCACAAAGCCTTTCCAGACCATTCCTGTTCATCCCTTTCCCAAGTTGAGTAAGATCCCCATTCTGTTTCTAAGATACCCAATGCATATCTCCACCACAGTTTGTCGCTTTTTATTTTAATTATTGGTATGAATGTCAGTCTCCTCCACTAGTCGGAGTTCATCAGAACAGATGCTGTGTCATACTCATTTTCATGAAACAGTGCCTAGTATATACAAGCACATCTCAGAGATAATTGGGGGTCTGGTTTCAGACCACCATAATTAAGTGAATATGGCAGATGAATTTTTTGGTTTCCCAATGTGTATAAAAGTTATATGTATACTGTACCATAGTTTACTAAATGTGCAATAGCATTATATCTAAAAAAAAAAAAAAAACCCAATGTATCCACTTAATTAAAAATACTTAATTGCTAAAAAATGATAACCATCATTTGAGCTTTCATGAGTCATATTCTTTTTGCTGGTGGAGGGTCCTGCCTTGATGTGGTTGGCTGAGTAGGGTGGAGGCTGCTGAAGGCTGGGGCGGCTGTGGCAAGTTCTTAAAATGAGACAGCAGTGAGGTTTGCTACATCATATGACTCTTCCTTTCATGAATTATTTCTTTGTAGCATGCAATGCTGTTTGATAGCATTTTACCCACAGTAGAACTTTCAGAATTGGAATCCATCCTCCCGCCTCTCGCCACAGCTTTATTAGCTACATTTATGTAACATTCTAAATTCTTTGTTGTCACTTCAGTGGTCTTCATAGTGTCTTCACCAGGAGTAGATTCCATTTCAAGAAACTACTTTCTTGGGGCACCTGGGTGGCTCAGATGCTTAAGCGTCTGCCTTTGGCTCGGGTCATGATTCCAGGGTTCTGGGATCGAGCCCCACATCGGGCTCCTGGCTCAGCGGGGAGCCTGCTTCTCCCTCTCCCTCTCCCTCTCCCTCTCCCCCTGCTCATGCTCTCTCTCTCTCTCTCTCTGTATCTCTGTGTCTCAAATGAATAAATAAAATCTTAAAAAACAAAAACAAAACTACTTTCTTTGCTCATCTCTAAGAAGCAACTCCTTGTCCATTCATGTTTTATCATGAGATTGCAGCAGTGCAGTCCCATTTTCAGGCTCCACTTTTGATTCTAGTTCTCTTGCTGGTTCCACCACATCTGCAGGTACTTTCTCCACTAAAGTCTTGAACCCCTCAAAGTCTACATGAGGGTTACAATCAGATTCTTCCCAACTCCTGTTAATGTTCATATATTGACCTCTTCCTGTGAATCACATGTTCTTAATGGCATCGAGAATGGTGAATCCTTTCAATTTGCTTTGCCCCCATCCATCAGAGGAATCACTGTCTATGGCAGCAATAACCTTACAAAATAATAAGACTTGAAAGTCAAAATCACTCCTTGATCCATGGGCTGCAGAATGGATATTGTGCTAGCAGGCACAAAAACAACATTCTTCTCATTGTCCATCTCCATCAGAGCTCTTGGGTGACCAGGTGCACTGTCAGTGAGAGGTAATATTTTGAAAGGAATCTTTTTTAATGAGCAGTAGGTCTGAATAGTGGGCTTAAAATATTTGGGAAACCATGTTGTAAACAGCTGTGCTGTCATCCAGGCTTTGTTTTTTTGTTTACAGAGCTCAGACAGAGTAGATTTAGCATAATTCTTAAGAGCCCCAGGATTTTTGGAGTAGTAAATGAGCAGTAGCTTCAACTTAAAGTCACCAGCTGCATTAACCCTTTAGCAAGAGTCTGCCTGTCCTTTGAAGCTTTGAAGCCAGGCATTGACTTCCCCTCTCTCGCTATGAAAGTCCTAGAGGCATCTTCTTCCAATAGAACACTGTTTCATCTACATTGAAAATTTGTTTAGTGGAGCCACCTTCACTGACTGTCTTAGTGGAGAACTTGCTGCAGCTTCTACGTCAGCACCTGCTGCTTTTCCTTCCGCTTCTATGTTACAGAGACAGCTTCTTTCCTTAAACCTCATGAACCAACCACCCCAGCTTCAAACTTTTCTTCTGCAGCTTCCCCACCTCTCTCAGCGTTCACAAATTTGAAAAGCGTTAGGGCCTTGCTCTGGATTAGGCTTTGGCTTAAAGGAATGTTAGAGCTGCTTTGATCTTCTATCCAGACCACTAAAACTTTCTCCATTATCAGCAGTAAGGCTGTTTTGCTTCCTTAACATTTGTATGTTCCTTGGAGTAGCACTTTTAATTTTCTTCAGTAACTTTTCGTTTGCATTTACAGCCTGACTGACTAGCGTGAGAGGTAGAGCTTTCGGCCTGTCTTGGCTTTTGACATGCTTTCCTCACTAAGCTTAATCATTTTTCTAGCTTTTGATTTAAAGTGAGATGTATGACTCTTCCTTTTACTTGAACACTTAGAGGCCACTGTAGGGTCATTAATTGGCTTAATTTCAGTATTGCTGTGTCTCAGCAATGCTAGAGGAGAGGGAGAGAGATGGGGAAGTGGCCGGTCAGTGGAGCAGTCAGAACACATAACGTTTTGTCGACTAAGTTTGCCATTTTATAGGGGCACAATTGGTGGCACCCCAAACAATTTACAGTAGTTACATCAAAGATCACTGATTGAAGATCACCATAGCAAATAATGAGACAGTTTGAAATACTGCAAGAGTTACCAAAATGTGACACAGGTACCAAGTGAGCAAATGCTGTTGGAAAAATGGCGCTGATAGACTTGGCTTTCATGCGGGGTTGCCACAAACCTTCAGTTTGTAAAAAACTCATTCTGTGAAGTACGCAATAAAGTGAAGTGCAGTTAAGCGAGATATGCCTGTAATGAGAATTCACTAAATGCTTGTGTAATGAATGGATAAATTATAAGATGTAGACATCAGCTGAGAGTGAGTTGGGCCTGTAGAGTGGTAAATGCTTGAAACAATTGTCAAAAGAGTGGTGAAGAGTCTGAACAGGACCTAATAAAAGGATGAATTATGTATTTTCGCTTTTTGATTCTATTGCGTATGTCTTAAATATTTTCACATGATTGCCTTACTTTCCTCCTTATTCATTAGGTTGTGAACCCTTCTCTTTTTTCAAAAATAAATGTCCAGTTCAGGATTCTGGCTGATCGGTGTCTCTTGATTGCAGATCCAATGGATTTGAACAGAAGCGCTTTGCCAGGCTTGCCAGCAAGAAGGCGGTGGAGGAACTTGCCTACAAGTGGAGTGTTGAGGATATGTAACTTTTCTGAGGCTGTGGGGTGGCTGTGGGTTGTGGTAGTGGACATAGGGCAGCCAGACATCCAGCTGTAACAGTTGTCTATGCTAATAATCAGGGTCCACACAGACGAGCAACTTGAATGCCAGTTTTGACTACGGAAGAGTATTTTGAGACCTGATGTTTGGATTGAGGCACCTGGACTTCTTAGGTGTGCCAACACTGGCTATTGCTGGCCTTCAGAGGAGGCATTGATTTTTCATTGTCCCAGGGGTTGTTCTTGGTTAGGGTTTTTCTTTTTTAATAAACATGCATTTATTTTTTCAAAATCATGTTCTTAATTGGGTATTCTGTTTTGGGGAAGAATACAAGCTAATGATGAACCCTCATGGATCTTGGAGGGTGGTGGTTGGATTTTTCATTAATCTAGAAAGCAGTGTGAGTAAAAACTTCAGCGATGGGTCCTTCCTCTTAGAAAATATGAATTAGTGCTAAACTAAACTTAGGAATAGACATAGCTATTTGAGACATGGTGTATGATAAAGGTAATGTCACAAATTAGCGAGGAAGAAATAGGTAATGGTGCTTAGAAAATTAGCTTATGTATGGATAAAAATAAAGTTGGATCCCTACCTCAAACCATATAAAACAAAGACATTCCAAAGCGATTAAAGATCTAAATGAAAGGCAAAATGTTAAAGCCAGTAGGAAAAATTAGAGAATGTCATTGTGACCTTGGGGTGAGGATAGATTTGTTAAGTAAGATCCCCGAGGCACAATCCATAAGATTTGATACCTTCGACTACTTCATAATTAAGGATTTCTGGTTAACAAAGCATCTCATAGTCAAAGCTAAAGATGTGTATAGATTAGGAGAAAATATTTGCAAAGTTTAAAACTGACAAGGGATTGCATACATAAAAGACTAATATAGAAGGAACTACTGTAAGTCAGAAAGAAAAACAAAACACAAAATAAGGGGAGCCTGGGTGGCTCAGTCAGTTAAGCATCTGCCTTCAGCTCAGGTCATGATCTTAGGGTCCTGGGATCGAGCCTGCATCGGGCTCTCTGCTCAGCAAGGAGTCTGCTTCTCCCTCTCCTTCTCCCTCTGTGCTCGCTCACTCTCTCTCAGATAAATAAAATCTTTAAAAAAAACACAAAATAAAAATGGACAAAGAATATAAATAGGTAAAATCTAAAGGGAAAACCAGAATGACTAATAAGTATATTACCTCATAGGTAATTAGAGAAACACAAAATAAAATGTTAATATGTTTCTACTTTATTGGTTTGGCAAAAGTAAGAGGCTGAGCTGTCATGGGGGATGAGAACTTATGGGGAGTTTCAACTGGTGCATCCATTCCGGAGAACAAATGGGCAACACTTAATTGGAATTAAGTAATATCCTGGATGCAGTATTACGTGTAAGAGTGTGGCTCTGGAGCTATGCTGCCTGAGTTTGAATCCCAGCTATGTCTTTTACTAACTGTGTGATCTTGGTAAGCTACTTAACTTCTTTGTGCCTTAGTTTCTTCATCTGTGAAATGAAGATAATCGTACCTACCTCATCATAGGTTTATTGTGAGCTTAGAACAGTGCTTGCACATAGTATGTGTCACAAAATTGTTGGCTGTTACTATTTTTGTCTTCCTATTCATCAAGTATTGATAGCCAGCTTCCAGGATGGCCCCTGATGATTCCTGACTCCTGGTATGCAAGTTCTGTATAGTCTGCTCCCATAATGAATAGGGCTGCCCTGTGTAACCAATAGGATGTACTGGAAGCGTGTGACTTCTGAGGCTAGGTCATAAAAGACACTGAATCTGTCTTGTACTTTCTTGGATCCCTTGCTCTGGAAGAAGCTGGCTGCCATGTCATGAGAACACTCAAGCAGCCATCTGGAGAGGTCTGTGTGGAAAGGAACTAAGGCCTCTCACCAGTAGACGGCACTGAGTTACCAATCAGTGTGAGTGACCCACCTTGGAAGTGGATATTCTCCCTCCATTCAAACCTTTAGATGAATGTGGCCCCAGTTGACATATGACCACAACCTCATGAGAGATCCTGAGCCAGAATCACTTAGCTCTAAATTCTTGACCCAAAGAAAGAGTGAGATAATAGTGTTCATTTTTTTAAAAAGATTTTGTTTATTTTTTGAGAGTGAGAGAGCACAAACGGGGAGTGGCAGGCAGAGGGAGAGGGAGAAGCAGGCTCCCCACTGAGCAGGGAGCCTGATGTGGGTCTTGATCCCAGGACCCCAGGATCATGACCTGAGCCAAAGGCAGATGCTTAACTGACTGAGCCACCTAGGCGCCCCTAGGTGTTCATTTTTTAAAAAGCTTTATTGAGATATAACTCACACACCACAGTTTACTCATTTCCCATGAAGTATAGTTCAGTGGTTTTTAGATATCACAGGGTTGTGCACCTATCACCATAATTAATTTTAAAACGTTTGGATCACTCTGTGAATATAAGAACTTTGTATCCATTAGCATCCATCACTCCCTACTTGTCCCCATCTCCCCCGTCCCCTGGCACCTACTGATCTAATCTCTGTCTCTAGATTTCCCTATTAGAGACATTGCATGTAGTATGTGAATGGGGCTGTCATACAGTATGTGGCCTTTTGTGTCTCTTTTCATTGAGCATAATGTTTTTGAGTTTCATCTGTGTTGTAGTACATATCAAGTCCTTCATTCCTCCATTTGGTTGAATAATATTCCCTTGTATGGATAGCATACATTTTATTCATTTATTAGTTGATGGACATTTGAGTTGTTTCTACTTTCGGCCTGTTGTGAATGATGCTGCCTTGTGAACATTTATGTACAAGTCTTTGTTTGGGCATACGTTTTCATTTCTCTTGGAATCGAATTGCTAGGTCATAAGGTAACCCCATGTTTAACTTTTTGAGGAACTGCCAAACTTCCAAAGCAGCATATGAGAGTTCCAGTTTCTCCACACCTTTGCCAACACCTATTACTCTCTGACTTAATGACAGCCGTGCTTGTGGGTGTGAAGTGGTCACACTTTCCTAATGCCTCATGTTGTTTAACATTTTTATATATCTTCTTTGGAGAAATGTTTATTCAAATCCTTTGCCCATTTTTCAGTTGGATTGTCATACATACATGTGCACATACACACATACACACACAGACACACTCTTACATAGAGTTCTTTATATATTCTGGTTACAAGTCTCTTTTCAGATACGTGATTTACCAACAATTTCTCTCATTCTGTGGGTGTTATTGTTTTAAGCTGCTGAGTTTTGAGGTAATTTGTTATACAGCAGTAGGTAACTAATGCATTAAGTATGTATATACTCTACATCAAAGCAGTTCCATTCCTGGCTGTAGCCTTCAGAGAAACTTGCACAGATCCACAAGGAGTTACATGAAAGGATGTTCATGTATAGTTTGGGTAGCAAGAAGCTGGAAACAACTTAGGTGTCTGTCCCTAAGGGAATTGATAAATAAAATGTGGCATATGCATATGATAGAATATTATAAAAGCAGTCAGATGCAGGCTGTTAGGAACTGCTGTGACATGATAGACTCCAGGTGAGGAAAATAAAGAAGAATTCAATTTACAGCAAAAACCAGCTAAGTAAATTAAACACCCTAAGCAACATTTTTTTAAGGGTCTATGGAATAGGGTCTATGGGAGGGGGCAGAATGGGACTGGAAGGGGGAATGATGGAGGGAAGGGAAAACAAGAGAGGCCTCGCGTGGATGAATGTGGCGGGTGGTCATCTCAGTTCCGTGCACCTGAGGCCCCGAACACAGATCCAGAAGCAAGGTCTTGCTCTAATGGAATTGACATTTTGCACTGTGTTAGGCTAAACTGTCATGACAGCCACCAAATGGACTAACATCACAATAGAGGTTTTTTTTTTCTCCTTCTTCACTCATGTAAGGTCCAGGGTAGTTTCAGATTGGGGTGGTGGCAGGGGCAGTCTTTTAGGGACCAGGCTGATGCCAACGCTAACGCAGCCTCCAAGGTTGCTTTGGGTGGTGTCATTTTAGTGAGTCGAGCAGAGCTTGGGAGATTGCTTAGCAGATATAACAGGCCAGCTCTAGAAGTGGTGCAAACTTCCAGTCACACTCTGTTGGCTAGAACTTAGTTGCATGGTCCCCCTAATTCAAGAGAGCCTCAGAAATGTAGTGCACACCCAGGAAGAAGGGAAAAATGGATGTTTATGGACAGCTCTGGTCTCTGCTGCAGTGTGTACTTCTCGGACCCCCAACTGTTCATCCTCCAGCCATCTGAGACATATGTGGATTTTGAAGCAATTTTGAAATCTGGAAATTCCCAAAGGGACTCTGTTCTCTAACTGGAGAGTCTCAGCTGGAGTCACTGCTAAGTTGGAGATGTCTCTTCCTTCACTCTAGCTAGTAGCTGTCAGAGAAGTGCTTAGGCAGAGAGATGAAGGGTAAGCTGGAATTGCATCTAGAATCAGCATTTGTGAGTTGGAGGTATGTCAGAGAGGAGACAAGCCCAGAAAACAAACTCGAAGGTTCTACAGTTAGCATGAAACAGAGCTGGGACTAGAACCTAGTGTCCTACTGCCTTTCTGGTCCTTTGGCTCCTTGCTGTAAACATTATGTAAAAAGGCCCAAGGTTAGAACATTAGTGGCGAAACTGGTGAAATCCAAATAAAGTCTTGAGTTTAGTTCCTAGAAATATGCCATTGTTAATCTCTTAATTTTGGCAAACGTACCATAGTTATGTAAGCAGTTTGTTAACAGTCAAGAACTTTGGGTAAAGAGTAACAAAACTCTCTGTATCTTTACAACTTGTACGTTTAAATTTTTTTCCAAAATAACAAGCTTATTTTACAAAAAGGCCCCAGTGAATATAGGCTCTGGGCCCTGGACCTACTCTTAAGTTACTACTACTTTGGAGTTTATACTATGCAAGCTGTTTTGTAAGCCATCCCCTTTCCTTAGCCAGAAGTGGCAGTGAATACATTCAACTCCTAGCCCTTTGTCACAACTCTTGTACACAGCTGGGTTTTATTTCCATATGAGTTCAGGTTTTAACTTCATTTTAGTTGGGCCCCACACTTTCTTAGGAACAACTTAATTTAGGAGGCTATTTATGGACTGAATGGCAACCCCCCCCACATTCCCATGTTGAAATCCTAGCCCCAAGGTGATGGTAAGCTGAGGTAGGAACTTTGGGAGGCGATTAGGTCCTGAGGGTGGAGCCTCATGAATGAGATTAATGACCTTGTAAAAGAGACCCCAGAGAGCTCCCTTGCTCTTTCTACCATGTGAGGACACAGAGAGAAGCTGGTCTCTGAATCAGGGAGCCAGCC